AACGGAAATCTGTCTTTATCCAACAATATTTTACACAATAGTTGCTAAAATCATCGATGGATGTTTAATGTAAGGGTAGCTCAATATAACTATCTTACATTATAAAATATACGTTTAATAAATATTTAATTTTGTAGCTAGTATGAAAATATGAAGCAATTAAATTTACAGAAATATTAATGTTATACTTTGAATTCGTTCATTATTTGTACTGTATGATCAAACTATTAAAGTCTTAGAAAATACTATAGATAATAAAATAAACGTATAAGTCGATTCGTATTTCAGGCGAACAATACCATACACATTATTATGTTTTCAAAACACAATTTTTAGTCGATATAAAAGTCCATTTTAAAGCAACAATCCCTATATAATAATGTCTCGACAAAACATAGTTTCAATAGACTACTTTTCATCATTTTCAGTTTTCTATTGTGTAAAGCGACGAAATGGGATAGTATTATATGTATACTATATAAATATATTTGTTATTTTTTTATATATTTTTCAAATACTTTTACCAATAGTGAAACAACGAGAAATAGTTATGTAATATTATTTTTAAGTTTCATATTCAATAAGTCAATTACATATTATTATAATATAAAACAAAATTATTCTAATAAATAACATTTTAAAATATATACAATTATACTCCTAAGTTTAAGGTATACCAAAAATTGTAAAAAAAGTTTAAATTAAAATTCATGTGAGTATATACTTATAACAGTACAAAATAAATGCAGTCACAATAATTAATAGCGTTAAATCTGTTTTAGTAGGTACAACAACGATTTTACTCGACTGTAATATTATTGTCATACTTCGAGTTCGTAAAGTCAAAGTAGGCAGGTGGTTAATTAATGCCGGTATGATTTTAAATTCTATTTCGGTTATATAATGAACGTTACAGTATATTTTGTCCAATTTCAGACATACCATTTTCTACCTACCAGTCATCATATTTTGTCGGTTGAACGGTATAAATACGTCGTCATTTATTTTTAGTTGTTCGTTTATTAACTTTTATTCCCTATATGCTTGATTTCTTGTACCCTATATACATATATATATATGTATGTGGTATAAACGATAAGTTGTTCATTTCTACAAAGTTGAATGAGTTGAGTGGATGAATAATTATACAAATTTATACTCATATTAACTTAAAATACCTTGGGATTAAAATGAGTAAAAGATTGTCGGTACAGTAATTCTAATGAAGCGCACATGCATTATTCAAATGCATTATACTGTCATCTCGGCTTTTCGTAATTCTGTTATTGTATTTTGAATTGCTGCTTTGATATCGTTGAAGGTTCTCGAGCACAGGAAGAATAATATACAATTATGAGTACATATTATTATTATTATTATTATTATTATTATTATTATTATTATTATCATCAAGATAAGTTCAACCCATAAAAATTATATTTTGTATTCGGAATGATAAAATGGTGTATTTTACCAAAAAATAACTACATCAACACAAATTAATAATTAGCTTATATTATGTATTATACATTAAATTGGTACTGCTTCGCTGTGTTTATTCGTTTGTCTTGTCAAGATAACCATAAATAATTTTGAATATGAATCTTAAAAACACACAAACTGTTCACATTTTATAATATTATGTCCATATATTATATTGTGCGATTCCTATAAGTTTTATTTACAAAAAATGTATTTTCAATTACAGTTATAATAGTAATTCCAAATTATGTACACGTTAAAGTAAAAATCCTAAGACAGTTTTTGTGTTCATGTAATATTACATTTCCTAAAATAAAATAAAATATCCTTTGAATATCTTGGGTTAAATAAAAAAGCGAGGAAGGGAGTAATCCTATAATTAATTTCCAAGCTTTTTGATACGACAAATACAATTATATTGTCATCTATAGATAAAAATTAAAATATTGAAAATATTTTGACGATTTCATTAAATACAGAAAATGATAAAATAAACATTTGGTGTGGATTTCAAGTACCTACGTTTAATATTTATTGAATTACATCAAAATAAGAAAATCGTTCTATGAGAAATCGAGTGAATATCCTATGTCGTAGAAATGTGAACTACAAACACTCATAACAATTTTATTTGACTTCCAGGTCAATGATTTTTTTTTTGTTTAAGGTAGAAAAATGTATGAGGAATCTTTTATTAAATTTAACAATATTTGACATGAAGAGAAAAAAATATGAATTTCCAACTCAACATAAATTGCAAATTTTCTTAATTTTGTCGAATTTTCTCAAAATTTTAACCTCGGACGCTCATAAGAAAATAGTGTGGATTCACGCTTAAATTTGATTAAATTTAAATCAACAAAAATCTATGAGAAACCCTGTATTACATTTTCAAGTTTCTTACCAAGCAAGATATTCTTTATCGACATTAAGTAAAAAAAAACTAAAAAAATTAAAATTTGCGTATGGCTCATCATGAATCAAAAATGTTTTTTTAGTATTGTAATGAAGGCATAATCCCTTACATCCAACATGGATACTTTCCAGTCAATATTACATAATGACTTATATATATATTATATTACATTTTCTGTTTAGAAAATAAATATCTTAGACATAATTAGTTTGCAACCATACCATTTCACTTTCATATATAACTATATAGTGCTAAAAGTTGACATTTTAGTATTAATATCGATGTTGCGGTTTTTGACTATTATTTTTATAAATTTTTAATGAAAGAACTATTTATGATGGTTATAAGTAGGTTAACTCCGTAGGTTAAAAATGCAAGTATTGAAAATACGTGGAGATATTACAAAGGAAATTGATTTTGTGACTTATTTATACTTACACTTTTTGTAAGAATTAAAATAACGTCATTGCAACTATGTGACTGTTATATAACACCTGGCCATGAAAATATTAATACGTCATTATACATTTATTTATTCGAGCATTTTTTGGTATTGCTGACACTTTGGATAGGCATATTGCATATGTCCAATTTAATTTATTTATTCAAAATATATATTTTTTTTTTATACACTTATGGTTTTGATTGTTTTTTAAGTATATTTCAAATACTGACTGTAGTTAAGGCGATAATAATGACGAAAACTTTTGTTAAACCATGATACCAAAACACCGTATTGTCCTTTGCCGAAACATAATACTGAAGTACAACTTAATTTAACCATTTTCATTGTTTATTCAATGGTGTATCAATCATCTTATTTAAAATGTTTTTAAGCTTAAGATCTAAATAATTGATTATGTATTGAGAATCAAAATTAAAATAAGTTCTTACATTATTTTATTTACTAGCTCGTACCTATATATTTCATAAAATGTTAAGGACTTGGTGGCTGGTATATACAAGTGTAGTTGTTATATACGAAAACCTTAGTAATTAATATTAAAGTACTTAAATTAAGTGTTTCAATATCAAAGTCACAGGTAACCTAACATAACCCAACCTAACCAATGCGATGGTTAAAATATCTGCTATGTGTAATATCAAATACCACGTTTAAATAGAAACCATACAACATCGAATTTAATTGCATTTATTTTCTATCTAAGTACCCATTTAAAATGTACAAACATCAAACATTTATAATCTAGACGACGATTAACAACATATTTTAACCAGCAGATGACTCTTTATATTATTAAGAAGGTATACTTATAACTTTTTACATATACGTTTACTTTTGTCAATACACAAAGATTTTAAAAGCTAATTTATTTTAATATTGATGTCATTTCTTACTTAAGTATAAAATAGTATATTATACTATGATATTATTATGATCACATTTTCCTATATTTTCTAAGAAATAAAAAATTATAAATCACTGCTGCATTTCATTTTCTCCAGGGACTAAAAATACGATTTTATTTCATAAGATAAAATATTTTTAAATTATTGACAAATATACTATCCGTATTATAAAACATTTCGCATAATAGAATTTTATCATATTCATATTAATACATAAGTAATAATCTGTCAAATGGATGAATTTAAAATTAATTTGTTTATAAATAATAATAGTGGTATTATCACAAAATAAATAGAATTTCATATATTCTGTGGAATTATGTAAGCGATATAAACGATACAGATGGAATTGTAAAAGCTTATTGCTGGTTTTTCAGTGCAAGACATATTATACATTTATACTCCCTGACTCGATGATAAGTTTTAAACATAAAGTATAAGTTGTAATACCTATAGGTATAAGTGTTATGTGGATAACTTATTATTGATTAAACATTGAAAAATAAATATAATTATTAGAGATATTAATTTTTTTTTATAGTTATTTTGTATTTAAAACTCAATATGAAATTATGATTTCTAATAAATAATAAGACTTTTAGATTTTCATTAAATTTAAATCAAATTCAACCTTTATAACCTAAAAAATGATCAGAAAAATGATATTCATTATAAAAATTATAATTTTTCATTAAAGGTAATTATATGTATCTATTCTCATGTTAAATAAAAAAAGTAAAACATGATCGATAGAGTATATTGGCTCCAAGTAGGTTAACAAAAATCTTTATATCACGTAATTTATGGTCTTCAAAATGTATAGAAATTATAGTGAGCAAATAAAAAACCGTTTAGTTGAACATCGTATGAGTACCAGAAATATATTATGAAAAAACCCTAAACTGCTTATGATATTCCCTCAATCTTTATCAATTAATAAACCATAATCATAAAGTTATCGATTTCTTTCACGAAGAAAAGCTTTTCAGAAATTAAATACGTAATTTATACCATTATCCTAATGGTTGTATGGACTTACAAAGTTTCCGAAAGATTTATCTCGAATTATCTTACCCCTGTATTAAAAAGCAATATAATGGTAGGTACAAGTTTACAGACAATTATTATACAGGTGGTTTTTTTTAATTTAATATACACCACAGGCCACCGTTCTCGAATGAAAAAAAAAAACCCCACTGTTATGATGAATTAATTTTAACCAAAATGTTACCTGGCATTCGTAAGTACCGTTGTCGATCTTGGCTACTGGCGATATCCTTAAATCCCAGTCATCACTTTTCTCCGAATGAAAAACGCGAAAACGTCCGTCATTTATGTACGTCAACACACCCGAGCTCAGTATATGCCAATCTCTCCGTCGTACCCAAGACACCTGAAACCATTATTTTTATTAAAGTTGATTTTTTCAAAGCTCAAATGTATTATAACACATATTATTATACACAGCGCAGTGGACATTAATACACAATATCGGGTTGCCTAAAACGTATTTCGGTGTTTAAATAAATACATCCATCATATTATTCGGTTGTTCTTTTATATTTTGCACAATATTTTAGGATAAAATCAATATAATTTACGATGAAATTTAATATCCCTGTGTGTTCAGATTATTAGGTATCTTGAAGGATAAACGAGATTTAATTACAAGTACACATCAAGGGTTAATTAATTATTACAAATCAAAAAATTAGTAAATGGATTGATATGATGTGTGAACATTGCTGCATGTATTCGGTGACAATATTTATTGGTACATAATTAACCTATAGCTACTTTGTTATAATAGTATATAAAATAATGGAAACTCCTCTATTTTACATTTACACGAACATTAAAGACGAACTATAGATTCTATTCCATTATATTGAATCGTATTAAAGAAAAGTAATAAAAAAAAACTGATTATAAATTAATAATAAATTGTCTAAATACACAGCGATAAAAAAAAAGTATATCTAAAAGTAATGAAACTATAACAATTATATTGGAGTCCAAAATTCTGCGATGTTGCTGAGAATAGCCCCAAATGGGTACGATGAGTATACGATTTATTCACATAAATTCGGCTGAATAAGAATCCCTGGAATTACAGACCCACTACGAAGTCTCGTAATTCCCCTTTTCGCTAATCCCCTCATGCGATCTCTATTTTGAGTATGTGCACCGTAATCCGGGTCTACAACACGATACGTAGATATGTTTTACCGAATTGCGAATAAAACCCAAATTGCTTAAATTGTTGTAGTCCTCAAACAGCTGGACATAATTATCAATCCCGGTCATATGTATAGGTTTATTTTACATACAATTCACTTTTCGAATTGTTTCAACAAAAAAAAAAAAAGATAAAATGCAAAAACAGAACAAATTAACGAGTTTGAAGTTGTTTTTAACTCTCATAATACACATATATTACACCAATTCAATTTTAATTGTACAGGTATTATGCAATATTGTGCTCAACGTGGAATATCGCACTAATTCGTTGATTTATGCATGGATACTTACACGTTTCCACCGCGGTATTAATTTATAAACCTGGAGATTTATTGTAAAACAAATTATATATTTTTAGGTTGTATTTTGTTAACGACTAAGAATAAGGGCAATGAGGTAGAATGTAAGTATGATTAATAGGTAAATTATATTTTTGTACTTGCTACCATGTAAGCTTATTTTTAAGTTATCATCTAACATGATCTGTCTACGTGTTAACTGTTGAGCTGTCTCACCTAACACTGATAGCTATATACAGGACAAATACTGTTAACTACTTTTAATAAATAGTAAAAAAATTGCATTTACTAGTTATCTATGCATACAGTTTACAGTGTTTCTTTCCATTCCCATATTTTGTTGAATCATAACGGATAAACCTAAAATACTCAACTTAACATATTAACGATCTTAATGAAAATTATGGATATCACTCTGCTGTGTAGAAGACGTTGAGTAGGTAAACCTAAACAATCACCGTTGCAGTGCAGGTCACTGTAATAGATAAGTTCAATTTTAATTCAATAGTACATTTTTTAATACGGCACGTCAAACAAATTATTGTCAAAAACCAATCTAATAATTTATAGTATTTTGTATCTTTTAACTTTTATTGAAAACAGTAGTTCTATAGTTCTTGAGTCTCTAGCTAACATACAGACAAACACCCATTTTCATTTTTCTATATTATAGACGTACCTCTCAAATATAATATGCTAATAATATTATTATATCATATACTTTTGTTGCTGTTATTAACTTATAATTTATTGATAAGTCAATACTGAAATTTCGTAGAATTATGTAAATAGATTCATATTTTTTCAATCATCACAAATAACCAAAATTGTTATTTAACAAAATCTACAAAACGAAATTCTCCAGTTCATTATATCAATGATTCTATTTTACATAAAAACATAATATGTTTTTCACGCAAAACACAAATCCACCAACATATTAATGTATTACATATCCAATCAATAAAGCAAATAACACTATGCTGAATTTCCAATTGGTATTATAAATAGAAACATCTACTCAATAAATTTAATTCCATCCAAAAACCTTCAAACAGAATTTATTTCGCTCTGAAAACATATTATTAGTTGTTCTATTCTACTGATACCTAATTATTATTTATTTAATCGCATTAAATATTATTTTCAATTACCTAGGTATCACAGGTGTATCACAATATAGTATAGAAAATATTTTTTAATTTAAGATTTTGACGTTTTTGTTGATTTCATCTTAAACACATATCATATAATTTAAAATACTTCACTTTTAATCGTTTTAATTATCTAAATATTTTTGAAATAGATGAATTATTAAAAGAACTCTCTTGAACTTATTATTTTAAAAAAAAACTTCTATGAATACATTAAATTTTAAGAGTAATTTAATGTTAATGAGATAGTTGAATTTTAAAGTTCTTGTGTTCGTACTTTAGAAAAATATAAATCAAACAGTTAAGTTCTGTACAAGTTTTATGGTTATCTATAGCCTCGTTAATTGTTTATATTTATTGTCATTCAAACTCTTTATGTTGTGTAAAAATGGTTAATTATTGCTTGATTTAAATGTAATTGTGAGTTGTGAAATATTTATAAAAATGACTGAACAATTTTTGTGTTCTATAATTGTCAATCGTTTTTACATTAAACAAAACATAATTTAATTAAATTTAATACTGAAGAATGAAATATGTTTTAATTACATTATATTGAGCTGAAATAGAATTATATTAGTACTACCTGCTATAGTTATTAGCTAACAGTAAAGTTAGATTTTTCTGTTAAAATACTATCTTAAAATTAGTTATTTTATCAACACGTATTAGATAATAAATAAATTAGTCTATGAAGTAGATTAAAATTAGTTAATATAATTCAATAAATCAAATTATTTTATTATTTTTTCTGTAATCAAAAACATATTTTATAAACAGCCAAATAAAATATTTTAAACTAAATAATGAAATAAGTTCTAAGTAGATGTCAAATCTTTGCGATTAATATTTTTCTTTTCATTTATATTGTTTGTGAAATCTCTAAAATGTTTGATGAAAAATCATTATCTGTCGCGTGAATATACAATTGTGTGATAGTTTTAACTTCAAATGCATATGAACATATCATGCTCGTGTATTTATGCTACAAAAAATGTCAGATTGAAAAAATAAATAATAATAAAAGCACATTAATGCAAGACCAGTTCATTAATATATTCATTGATTTGTACAGGATCTAAAATCAAAGTAGCCCTACTTTAATTTAATTATTTAGGAAAAATACCCTGCGAATTTTTAGTGTAAAAAAAGATTAAAATTAAAACATAAAAGTTTTTTATTAGCTTTTTATTATCAACTAAATCAACTTAATTTTTGACAAATGATTATACATCTATTTGGCTTTATGATATACTTATACATACAATATAAATTAAATTGTGAATAAATTTTAAAAAAATGTCTTTAGGAAACTAATTTTCTGTGTATAATTTAAGCAAAATAGATTATTGCAATTAAATTGAGTTATTTGTAGCCACTCTGCGGCACAGGTCAAAGGTTTGAAAGTTCTAATAATTAAGGTACCACACAGAATAACCATTTCGTTAATTTATCGATGGTTTGTATAAAAATGAATAGGTAGCAGATTATGTTATTTATAATTATTATTCTCATTCTCATCTCCTGCAATCATTATTTTTAATTTGAATATCCGATTTCGTCAAAACTAAAACATAATATGTCCATAAAGATGTATGTAGTATTAAGCTATTGTTTTCAGTAAAAAACACTTATAATATATCTTACATAATTACATTTTTAAACTTTCGGTGTTTAAATTTAATGACAGTTTACTTGCAAAATAATCCAAACATTTTTGTGAATTTGAAAATCGTAAAAATTTGAAGTTTCAATTCTTGTACAAAAAAAAAAAGAATTGTGGCTATATTATATTTTCGGTGTTTCTTGATTGGGGATTGAATTACTTTTATGAAAAACCTGGAGTTACATTTTCAACCTTTTTACTAAAAAAAAAAAACAATTCTAGATTAATGTAATAACATAAAAAATCAAAATTATTTTAAAATTATTTCCAATAAAATAATAAAATAAATATTTTTTAACAATTTCAACTATCTAAAGTTATTTCTGTTTGAATTATAGCAAAAAAAAAAAAATTAAATATTTTGTCAACGATTATTGTTTCAGTTTTTCCAATAATTTTGAAAAGTTCTTGGAATTTTCTGCTTTTGATCCTCTAAAAGTAAAAATTTTATTCTAAAAACCGCCTTCAAAGTTGATGTTGATAGCAATTTTACGGCTCTAAAATGTGTTGTGATTAGTTAAATAAGGAAAAAAAATTTTAAATATAAAAACACACATCATTTAAAACTAATACATTCTTTCTTCGCCCAGAGTCCTGATAAATTCAAAGTCCACATAATATTATTTATTATGATTTTGATTTTCACTAGTAAAAATACTGTGGTTGTTAAATACTAAACGAGACTAAAAGGCTTATATATTTTATGTTATGTACATGGATAATATTTAACTTCATTAAATGTTTACGTTAAGGAATGCGTTATATAACTTATAACTATAGCCGTAGAAATTGAGGTATGAAATCACCAGTAATGAATGTTTTAAATCTCATCTCATTTTCCGGTGCCTATATTTCATTAATTTATTCAAATTCCCATTACAAAAAAAAACATCCCGTCGAGTCTTAAATAATATAAAATATAGAGTCTAATGGTTTCCGCGAAAAAAATATAATAAGTAAAAAAATATAATTCTGTGATTAATCTTTTCGTAGTATATAACGCGTAGAACGTATACATAGAATGTACTTAGGT